GAAAACGTGAAGCCAAAAGGAAAGAGGAGCAAAGCAAAGGAGGCTGAGGCAGAGGAGGCTGAAGAAGACGTGAAGCCAAAAGGAAAGAGGAGCAAAGCAAAGGAGGCTGAAGCAGAGGACATTGAAGAAGACGTGAAGCCAAAAGGAAAGAGGAGCAAAGCCAAGGAGGCTGAAGCAGAGGAGGCTGAAGAAGACGTGAAGCCAAAAGGAAAGAGGAGCAAAGCCAAGGAGGCAGAAGGAGAAGAGGAGGAGGATTCCAATGAAGAAGATGAAAAGAGGGAAGATGCGCAGCCAAAGCAGAAAAGGTACAAACCAACTGCTGAAGCCAAGGCGAGGAACGCAAGAAAGTCTGCGGCCTATCGCAGAGCATACGCGCATGCATTGAATGAGGAGGAGAAAAGCCCTGAAGAGGCAAAGCTGGCTGGACGCAAGGCGCAAAGCTTATATGTTTTGGGTTGTAGGGCCTTCTACCGTTTACCGCTCATCCACAAACACTATATAGATCTTCTCTGGATCGACACATTCCCTGAAGGCCTACAAGGAGACGAGCTAGCTAGCGGGCTCTACAGATTGTGAGAGATGCCAGAGCGCTTTTGTTGGAGCGCTGCAATTAATGCAAGCGTTCGAGATCTGACCCATGGAGATCTCAATCCTTAAGTGATTCTAGTGTTTAACTTGGGGCATTTTCCCAAATCCTTGATGGATTTGGGCTGGGGTTCAGCTAGCACGAAAGAGCTTTCGTGAATGCACTCTGAAGAAGCGTAAGTCTGAAGCAAAAGGTCCATTTTTGCATGAGCGTGTGCTTTTGGGCATGTGCCGGCTTGCGATCAAAAGCCAATTTAGATGTATGATGTATATTGTTCACAGGTACTATGCCACGCGCAAGCTTTGAAAAATGGGCTGTGAGATTGGCCCCCACTATGCGTGCTGCCGGCATACTTTTGGAAACTTCATGTTTGATTGCACTGCATGCTTTTGGGCTGCTTGCTGGCCTCCGTCAACTCCGTGATGTAGCTTGCTCAGCCCCAGCCTGAGCCGCTGTACAGTTGCATATCCCTTAAACAATTATACTTCTTTCCACAAACAATTGTGGCAGTTGACTTCACAAGGTCAAACCCCCCTGGACCTTGCACCAGTTGACAAGCTTCAAAGGCAGGGCCAAATTTTTGAGCTGGTCATCCAGCAGCTGGTTGCTTTTGGTGTCGATTGAGCCCCCGCACCAAAGGCGGATTCAATGCCAATGCCAGCAGCGGTGTCCCTGGCTCTTTCTTTCATTCAGTCAGGTGATTCTACTATAGCTGATCTAAAGGTTGCAGCCAATGTGGTCTCAAAATTCTTTAAATATGTTCCCCACACTCAATAAGAATTCATGTAGAGGGTGTACAATTGGAAACCATGTCGGTGGCAACCTTTTCTTTTCAGAATTCCAGTGATGCCAGTGACAGCCAACTGTGCAAAGGGTTGGCTCAAACGGTTTTAGCTAGGGGTCGGCATATAAAATGCCTGAGCGAAACCGGGATGAGTCTGTGGTGGCCAACCTCATTCAAATGAGAGCTCCTAAAGCTAGGATCTCAGGTAGCACGTCTTAGAAAAGTGCATGAGCAAAGATTAAGCTCAATTGCTTCCAGCGTGTGCCCATTCAGGTCTTCATAGCTATAGCTGGGACCCAAGTAGTTTCCACCCCGTGTCGTGGCCTATTACTCATCCGGCCCAGGTCCTGGCACTTCTATGGACGACCAATGTGGATACCTCCTGCCAGTACCAATGTGTGGAGATCTTTTCAGGCAAGGGCCGCCTCAACCAAGCTTTTCGTGAAAGCGGAAGGCCTACTGCGTATTTTGATTGGATCCACGACCATCGCAACATGAACTTTGAGGGTTCTGCGGGTTTTGCGCCCCTGGGCTGACAATGCCTTTATTGCAGTTGAAGCTACAGGGTAACTACTAGCGCCCAGCTCCTT